CCTGTGCATATTAATGAGGTGGATGATTTTAGACACTGCATTAATACTTGCAATCTGACAGACTTGGGTTTTAAGGGAAGTATCTATACATGGTGGAATGGAAGATCAGAGGAAGATTGCATTTTTAAGAGATTAGACAGATGCTTGGGTAATATGGAGTTCCAACAAACTTTTCCAGGTTTACAGGTGACTCACTTATCCAAAACAGGGTCTGATCACAGCCCTATGTTGTTGAAATATGATATTGAATCTCCTCCTATCAAGAAGTCTTTTAGGTTTCTTAATTTCTGGACTAAACATCACACTTTCAAGGAAGTTGTAAAGGAAAATTGGTCTGCAGATTTTAGTGCTAGTCCTTTTACCTTATTTAACTTCAAGTTAAAAAAGCTTAAGAAGGCATTATCAACTTGGAGTAGAGCTACTTATGGGGATATATTCCAAAAGATTGCAAGTTTGGAGGAAGTTGTTTTGGTCCATGAGAGACAGTTTGAATGCAATCCAAGTCAGATGAATAGACAAAGACTTCAGGAAGTTCAAGCAGAAATGATCAGATATCTTGCTTTAGAAGAGGAATTCTGGAGGCAAAAAGCAGGCATGATGTGGTTTAAAGATGGAGACAGGAACACTAAATTCTTCCATGCTCAAGTTAATGGAAGGAGGAAAAGGTTGAGATTGACAAGAATTCAAAACAGTGATGGAAATTGGATAGAGGAGGAGGATCTAATTGCAGAAGAAGCTGTGAAATTCTACCAAGATCAGTTCACTGAAGATGCAGTTCCAACTACTTTTGACATTCTCAATCATGTTCCTAATATGGTAGACAGTGAGCAGAATGAAAAACTAATGGCTATACCAACTAAAGAGGAAGTGAAGAAAGCAGTAATGGGACTAAGTGGTGATTCAGCTGGGGGCCCTGATGGATACACAGGAGCATTTTACCAATCTTGTTGGGATATAATTGAAGATGATTTGGTAGGTATGGTGAAAGCTTTCGTTTTGTGGGTTCAACGTAATTGCCTAAAAAGTGTGAACACACAC